TCAGTGACACATACTGGCCACATAGACGCAAGTGTCTGGACTGCACAGTGAGACAAATACAGTATAGCTTCTGGTTGGCCTCAATTTGAACCCAAGAACAAAATTTGATGAAGGCAGAACAAAAATATTAATGGAGATAAATGGCAACATAAAGAGAAAGACAAATGGGGACATCTGTGCAACAACTGCCTTACAGGGCAAACTGAGGACAGTTTTCAATGCAGTTGGTTCTACTTCTCTGTCATAAGTTGTTTAAGGAAGAATTAAGCCCTACACTGGGAACAAGTTGACTCTGCTTAGTGTAAAGACCAACTGGACTGTTAAGTTCAAGTCAAACTTGCTCTTTTAGGATTCTTTTGTGATTCTTTTTGGTTGTGCTGAGACCCTGTTTGTTTTCTAGGCTTAAATGGTTGGGAATAGTGTTAACTTCTACCATGTACATTTGACGGGTCTCTGGAATTTACTGAGACTAAATCAATGTTATACCTCTTTCAAAAAGGGAGATCAAAGCAACGGCAGGGAGTGGTGAAGAACCAGTCACAGGCCAGTAATGGGCAGGACATAGAGAATAAATGAACCAATGTTTATTTCATAACAGCAAAGGGTGTGGGCGAGCCAAGAAAACAAGAACTGCACCTAATCAGACAAACAATATGTGGCATAGCTATCAGTTCTATCAGGGAGGCCACAACAGGAACACTGTTTTCAATTTTGAGAAGCTGTCTCTGCTGATTCTGTATTTTTGAAAAGCTGCAAAGTTTGTTTCCAATAGGCAAGAATCAACATTATGTTGCAGTGAATCAACAACTTCCAACAGAATCGATTTTAATTGTAAATTATTGTAAGGATGTAGATTTCAAAATGGGTATCTTTAGAAGGGAGTTACAGCATATTTTAGAACAATAATTAGTTTGGGTTCCTTCCAAAGAAAACTAAGAAACTCTAAATAAGCATAATATGGAAACCTATGGATTAAAGAATTGTTCATTTGTAATGGTTTATTTAGCTTATCGCATCATTCTACAAGAGCTTTGGTAAGCAAAACTACAAAGACTCTTTATTGAGCCTAAAACTGAGATACATTCTGACTTCCAAAGGCCCAATGTAAGAGGCTTGTTATACACAGCTTTGACCCAAGATCACAGAAGAAGATTACCCATCGATGAAACAGTAGCCCTGTTAGTACCAAGCATTCTTGATTCAACACAGGACTTTAGCGAGAAAACAACACAAAACAAATTATTTACGCTCTTCAGAAATGGACTTTTATACTGATATGCGACAAGAACAAAGACGTTTCATATTCTGAAATATCAGCTTGTGATTTATCTTGTGATATTCAATTTGGGCATATGCTTTGAACCTTGTAAGATCAGATAATGGGCGTATGCGATATCCCAAGATATTGCACAACACTTACACAAAGACCATCCATGTGCACCACTGCACCCTGGAATCAGCAAAGTCAAGTTCAACAACATGAAAAACATATAGAACTAAAAACTGACACAATAGTCTCTACGGATAATTACAGAGCAGTCTAACAAGCCTGAAGGAGTTAAGCTATCTAAAAGGGCCTGCATCATCTCCAGACGTGGATCTCCATCTCCCAAAAGATTTGTATGCATTGCATAATTTGAGGCAGTACATTGCATAGCTGATGTTGTTCCATTCAAGAGGCAAGAACAATACGAAGAAAGCATTATGGCCTACTTAGCTAACTAAGTTTGCCAGGGGAACACACCTGCATGACTACAGGGTTGCTGTGTTCATTTTTGTATTGTGAAGTTCCTTGAATGGTTTTCGTGTATATGGACCCTCATGTGTTTGTTGAACAAGCTAACAAATATGTTGACTGGGCATGACAGCTTCATTCTGCAGCAGCACAATTTCAACATTACAGTTATTCATGTGTGCTGTAAATAGATTTTAGCCAATAACCTTCATTTTCTATTTGACCTAATCCAACTTCAAGCTGTTTAATGGTTGTATTTGTACAACAAACTTCTTTGAGGGGGGACGGCTGTCTTAACTGGTGGAATGTGTCTTGTGTACAGATGCATGACATACCCAGTAAAAGTTTTAATCTCACAATTTGGCCCCTTGGAATATTAAGACAATGTCAATGATACGGCCTATTCTTAAAAAAGCAACCAATGGAGTATTATATATAAAAATATTTTTAAAAGTGTTCATCTCTACAGGTTCTTCCACGAGAGCACCTTCACATCATCTCACTGAGATTTAAAAGTCACTTTAAGAGGATAAAAGGTGGATTACCATTTAGAGAACCAGCTTGACTGGATGTGATCTTGTAACAATCAATAAATTGTAAATTGTGTAAATCTGTCAATCAGGTGAAAAGAAAACTGATGGACTCTCTGTGCTCTGCTAGCTTCCAGTGCTGGTACTTGATTGGTGTTCTTTAAATAAAGCAATCGCACGTTTGTCACCCTGCTGACTGAAAACATCTGAATTGATTTACACCTTCCTTTACACCTTTAAACTGTTAGGTCTAACACGTATCTTATATCAGATATTCCTTAAAGAGTGAAATGTTTCTATTGTCTTTCCATCTGTTCAGCAACTTACGGCTATGAGGTCCAGATGTGGGAGTTTCAATATTGTGCAAAATAAAGAAGTTGCAAATTATGACAAATACATGATGTGTCAATGTGGGTAACTGCCGAAATCTTCTTCGGCCTCCCATCTAATGGGCACTAAAATGTTATCCATCACCCAGTACTGTGAATTATTGATTTCTCTCTTGCCCATTATTGACTTGATGTCTCTTTCTGCTGAGTGGTCAATCAACCTGCAAACATATGCCCCATGTCCTCACCCTCATTTACTTCAGTTATCAAGACAGCAAACTATCACCTGCTCATGATGCGCCGAGTGCACACAGGTTCACAGCTGCACTAATAACACAGTGAAATGTGAAGTGGTTTTCTGTTTATATACCATCTGATGTGAGTTTTAGAAGTTTGTTATTTTTGGCCATCTTTAGACCATCTGTTTTCAGTCTTTATGATAAATTATGCAGTCACTAACCGTAAAGCCATGTACTCTGTGTTTACTTACTCTGAGACATTTAAGAAGCAAACTTCTGAAAATGTCAAATTATTCCTGTAAACATTTTAACTTGAAAACGACTGACAACAAACACAGATTTAATCTTTTAAATAAAAAAGCAAGACCTCACCACACAGTGTCTGTTGTTGTTTAGCTATTGTTCCAGTTTCATAGACTCCTCCGACTTCTTTTATCTAAATAACTGAGAACAAGGAGCCTGATTTCAAAAAGTTGCTCAGCTATGCCCTTCGGCATCGTGAAGTGAACAGTGAACAAGGAGTGTGTAATGGTTTTAACTGTCAATAAACACTAGATGATTAATTAGACATGTTATATATTTATGTATAAAGGAAAACAGTTATAATTTTAAGTAGTATATAATTCCCTAGCTCTATCATTGTCATGAGGGCTTCAATGTAACTGGCAAATCAGCAGATAATCAGTGTCACCCACCATTATTTGCTGTCATACATTTTTAATGCTCTATTGAAGTAGATTAGAACCCCCTCTACTGGTGGCAATCTATTATTACATAAATTCTATCTGCACACAAATGTGGCTGTAGTGTTTGAAAGTATATCATCAGATTAAGCCGTCGCAAACTCACACCTTTACAACTCAGGTATAGTTAGAAATGGCCCGATATTACAGACTGCACACATTGAGGGGCAGATCTCCTTTTCTTGAGGCCAGGTTATGTGTGGAAACATGCCGTTTTCTAATGGCGTTCATTGTAAATGCACTACATTTAAATTTCTAACAGTCCCTCACAGCTCTTGTGCTTTGCAGAGGCATGCTCTGAGCTGAGACACATCTGAACCCACTGCCAACGTTAATTATGCCGCTGACTTAGAGAATGTGATAAGATTTCTTCTTCCAGTTTAACTCCAGCGCCTTCTCATCAATATGCCTAATGAGATCCCACGAGAGGTCTTGAGGGTATGGCAGCCTGGTGCTCCTCAGGGTATCTCAGTATGAGAGCTTTGACTGTAGGTTACAGGATATTTTCTCCTGAGGGACTCTGCATTAACCTTTTTTAAGTATTCTAATTAGTCTGAGGACTGGTCTGGCTCCCTGTCTCTGCCAGACACATTAAATTCATCCACTTACCCCTTCACATAATCGAAGAGCTAATTAGTTTTGGCAGTTAATGAAAAAGTGTGGATGGGAAGCCTTACAAGTAATGATAACTGTAACATTACGTAAAACTCACAAAAATATCAGTCTAACTCATTTATGTTAAACAAAATGATGAAATTGGTAGTTATCTAATGGAATGACCTTATCATTTGCATAAGAAAATAACAAACATCTGGAAAATGCTAAATGTAGAAGCTTATAAAGTAGGAGGCAGTTAAGAGAGTGTTTGCAAGGACAGGACAGAAACTTGTGAAGTGATGTTGGCTGAAAATGCAAACAAAAGAAACGTGCAGAAACAGGTTGTTGATGTTTGTGACTTCAGTGTGAGGAACTAGCTCAAGTCAACCAGCACATCCACTTAAAGTGGGCTAAAGCGAGGCAACGTGGACTGTGGATGATTGAATGAAAGCTTTTTTCAGTGATTAAGCCCCTGTCTGCAGAACCCTTTTTTCCCCCGGTCAATTGAAATGCTGGCGTTATCCTTCCCAGCAGAGTTGGTGAAGAATACTGTTTGTCAATACCTAAGTGCCTAAAATAAAAAAATAAAAGTATATCCTCCAAGTGTGGTGAATCTATAATTTAACCTAGTGGGAGGATTTTAGTCATTTGAGCCCTAAGGTTGGAATCCTCTGCATTCAATAAGGAAAGAAACCTCCAGTAATTTAGTGGATTTACAACCTTACTCTTCAACAAACCAGCTGGTATGAATGTACATGTTTGAAAATGAAAAACATGAAGATGCTCATAAAACAACAAAGGTATAGAGCACAGTGATAAATGGATACTGGTTGTGAACATGATTTATTATAGTTCTTTTTTTAATTAGGTTGTGCTCGCAGAGCATGTACAAAATCCAAATGGCACATAAACATATAAATAAAAAAGAAAGAAAAACATAAACACAGCATTGCTTTGCTCCCTTCTTTTCCACTGAAAAATTCAGATTAGGAGCATGGCTTTGACATGCTCAAAGTGTAAAGGCAAGGAATTCCCCAGAAGCTGAAAGTACATAGAGACCATAACTAATATTACAATAATTTCAGGCGGATAATTATTTTCTGGAGCCTAAGCATTTTAATTTCTTGGAATTTATTAGTTACCCCCAAACATTGTTCACTACTTTCCACTTGCAGAGTGCTTTCAGGTGTAGCTGTGTCTTATCTATAATCTGTATTTCATCCTTTATATATATATATATAAATATGTATTTTTTTCAGTAAATTAACTACTTCATCATTAGAGCATACACATATGTAGGCACGGACAGAATGAAATCTAATTAAAGAGAAAGAAATGCAAACCTGTAGCCTATTACAAATCCCATTTTAAAAATCTAGCCCAGAGCAGTACCGTGTTCGCACTCTTCCCAACATCGAATACAACTTCAAGAAGACCACAAATTAACTTTAGCCATACAGTAATGAGCAAAATATGCAAAGAAAGAACATGAAAAGGTGCTCTAGTGTATTTTTTCTTCCGTGTCTGTGGAATCAGAGTAAATTGAGGCTAGATCTCCTCCCTTACCTTTAGACTAAACCTTCACACTAAAAACAGGAAAAAGTCTACTTAGTTTACTGGTCTTTCGTGGCAGTCAAGTGAAGTCCAGTCTTTTTTTTTTAACAAGTAGAGCTATGGCAAATGTATTTATTCTTCACAGTCTGTCTTTCTTCATCCAGTGTTTCAACCTTAGGATCCAGTTTCAACCCAAAGATCTTGGATCATAGTAATAATTGCATGACAATCCACCAAAGGTATCGGATGTGGTGCGTAGGTTTGCAGCAAGTGAAGAAATAGCAGCTGTGTGTGAGTGACAGTGGAAAAAGGTGCTTCTCTTACAAACACACACATCCAGAGCCCAGGACATGCAATATTCAATTCTGTTTTCATATGAGCCGAAAGTGTTCACAGAAGCTCTGCTTCATCCTCATCATCCTCAGACCCTGACGGTCCCTGACGAACCTCTTCGTACCACTTATTGGTCAAGGTCTTCATCTGGATCCGACCATGTAGCAGGTCCTGAGAAACATGTAGAAAATAGCCCCATCAGCAGGCATGCGGAATGTGAGGCCAAAAACATCACCGTGTAAAGATGTGGACAACAATCAGAGCTTGAAACTCTGACCGTTTGGATCCTAATGCAACAATATTTCAGCCAACTCCAGCTCAAGACAGAGATGTTCCACAAATAACAGGCTTTGTGCCTTTTTTGAGTCAGCATAGCCTTAGTTTAACGCGTTAATTTTGAAAGCAGAAATATAACATGAGTGGCAAAATATTCATTTTAAGGCTAAAATAAATTATAATGAAAAGGCCAAAAACACCTTGTAAATGTGTTTAATTTTAGGTCCAGGTATGTTTTAAATTTGATACAGATGTAAATCATACCCTCTGTATTTTCTCATACAGAATGTCAGACGAGATATAATACATGGCTAGCAGTAGGCTAGCAAATTACTATTTTGGGGTTTATGATAGCTACTTCTGTTGGACTGTCTAATAGAAATAACTGTCATTTTACTAAATCTACATGTCACTTGTATTATGCTAATGAGAGAGCAAAGAAGAATAAATGGAAAACAATGAAAGGGACAGTGAGCAACATCTAGTGATTCTGCACTTACCTCTTGGGTCAGTCTGCGGGTGAAGAAGGGGTTAAGGTACTTTGCATCAAGCCACAAGAAGCCCTTCAGATCATGTCTCTGGTAGATGTGAGCCTCATACTCCTCTTCTGTAAGTTCTGATAGGTGCTCTGACTCGATAGTGTTGCCCTGAATAGAAACAATGATAACTGAAAAAGGAGTCCAGAGAAAATGGAAGGCCAAAAAGATTGCATGGCAGAAACCCATGAAGGAGGTGAATAAGCTAATGCCGGTGATAATTAAAATAACCGGACAGTAGTGACGGTGGGGAGTTTAGATTATACGTACGACGAGCAAAGATTAGAAGAGAAGAGCAAAGGGACTGAATCATATCAAAGAGTCCACAAGGGCTGTAAGGGGAAAAATGAGGGTTTGATTTATCTAGCTGCTGGACCCTCGGGGGGTAACACTTGGCTTCAGAAAACATCAAGCATACAAATGCTGTATACATAAGTCATGCAGACACACTACCAGAAGCTGCCAGTGACCCAATTGTTAGGATGTACTTCAAAAGAATGACCTGTTATCCAGCATTTGAGCTAGTAAAGTTAACTGAAATATTAAACACAATGGCTTGTTTTTTTGTATCTGGGAAATTGTTTCAATGCCAGTTGTTAGGGAGTACATCTATGTGAGGAGAGTACTTTGCTCTCGGCTGACTCAATATCCATCTCAGAGAATAAAATAAGCCCTTTGATGCTCGCTGGTCTCTGAAAGAACAGTAAGAGCCTGATGGTAGATGAGAGGATGGCAGAGCTTGTCTCAATGCAACAAACTGTCTCTGTGTGTGTGTTTTTGTGGTAAAGAGGGCCTCATCCATTACCATTTTCTGTGTCTTGCTGAGATTGATGTCCTTCTTGCTTTTTCGCCGTGACTGGCTCTCCTCTATGTCCATGATGCGGATGAGTGGCATAGTGCCGCCCCCGAGGATGAGGATGGTAAAGAGCACAATGATGATGGTGGTGGTGCCGATTAACTGCCTCTTCTCAATGGGTTCCAGGCCCAAATGAAGGCTCAAAGCATATGGAATGGCACCACGCAAGCCTAGAGAAATCACACAATACTAATGAATCCTGAAGAGTTCAAAGTTTGATACATTTTGATAATGATAATGTTGAAACCAGATTTTAAAAAAATGGTTTACTTTAAATTTCACATTGAAATTGGAAAAATAAAAAAGACATTATTTCAATTTGCTTTTAAAGGGTCAACAAAAAAATAATGTATCATTTGTTACCTTATCGCTTAATCCTTTATTTTCAAATTTATAAATTATTAAAGAAAAGATGCCACTAAGTTAGCTTAGTGTGATCATCGATTCATCTCACCGCTGAACCACATAATGAACATCATTTTGGGGGTGATCTTGTGATCTCTGAAAAAGTTGAGCAGGAAAGACAGAGGGAAGATGTTGACTGCTCGGCCGAGAAGAACGAGGACCTACGGAAAAAAACAACCATGGTCACGCCTGATGCTGATGGGAATGACCACACCCAGCACACTGCAAATGTGCAAAATGTTTCAGGGAAAAGCACTTACGATGCACCAGATGACAAAAGAGATTTCAAAGTTATGTGGGAAGCTGAAGATGGAGAGGCCGAGAAAAGCGAACACGCACGTCTCTGGAGAAAGAAGTTAAAAACAGTGACGAAAACTTTCAATGAACCGTACAGTCAGTTGACAGTGGAAGCTTCAGCGGCTGCTCGCTCACCACACATGAAGGCCACTGTGCGCAGCGTCTGCTGCATGAGGATCTGGGTGACGGGAGAAAGGTTGTGATGGGTGTAGTGAGACATCACAATCCCCGCGAACAGGATAGACATTATTCCTGGAAGTGGAGAAAGTGGAGGGAGTCGGTGGAAAATTAAGACATTCTTAATTCCTGCTAATTTTGCGGAACAGTGTTTGTCTGCTTATGAGTTCACCTACCGGAAAGTTTGATTCCCTCAGCCAGGCCATAGGGAAGGTATGCAAAAATGATCATCATGCCAAATTCCAGCGACGGGGTTTTCCTCAGGTCAAAGTGTTTCAGAAACTAATCGGTGAGTTAGGGAGTTTAAAAACAGATTTGGAAATTCACACATGTATATGAGGACGAACAAACAGGCTGCCTCAGTAAATGAGTGTGGATACAAGAGCTGAAATGAGTCCAGTGAGGGTTCCCAGGGCGGCAGAGCCAAAAAACATTTTAAGAAAATAGCCCAGTGCTTGCATGAAAGTCTCCCAGCCCGTAACCGTGGAGTTGTCAGAGCGGGAAAAGAAACCCTCGGCTGTGCTGAAGGACAAAAAAGAAAAATGGTCACCATCACACAGCCTTTGTTGTAACACTCACGTTTGACTCTAGAGGGCAGAAGCACTCAACAAAAACATTGAAAGAGCGAGTGTTCTACAATGCGTGTTTGTAATCAAACTATCACAATGGTGTTGCTTTAATAAAAGTACTTGTATCATCACATTTTCACTGATCTAACGGAGTGGAGTACAGATAAACATAAGAAGGTCAACCACACAAAACACATTTCTCTTTAGATCAGAGGAACTAAAATGTGTTTCAGTGTGTATTTTACTGATCCCTATTCTCAAAGTGCTTATAAGACAAAAAAGTCAACATTGTATTGTGACAATCTACAACTCAAGCATTTTCCATTGCATGAATAACTCTAATAACCACAGAAGAAAATGTCAGAAGTCAACAACCTGATGAATGTTTTCGATGTTCATGTACTTGAAAAGGATTTCTCTCATTACGTAAAAGTTGATGAACCAGGAACACAGATGGCTTAAATACCACTGGTAGATAATAATCATCCTTGCAAACAGTCATACCTGAAAATATGACAACAAACAGATAGGAATACGTCCTGGAAAGCTCCTATGTAAAGGGAGTAGCTGGTAAATGCAACTGAGCCAAACCGTAAGGTGGCTTTCTAAGAAAGCTAGACCATGTGAGTGTGAGGTGCTAACAAAGAACGAACTGCCAGGACTACTCAGTGTATCTATTATTCACGCTCTCATTTACTCTAATTTAGCATCGGGACACTTGATATCACTTTGCACCTTTAACTGGCTGTGAGACAACTTGGCAACAAACCAGGCACAAAGACAGCGGATAAAGTGACGGTGATGGTTACAAACACCTCAGAGTTAGTGTTGTTTGCTGTGAGGATGTTTTTGCCTGGGGAGAAGAAAAAACAAAAATAAAAAAAACCCGGAAATATGACACTAACTCCACAGTGTTAGATGATGGGAGTATTCAAATCCATAAATTTAAAATGACCAAAAAGATTTTTGGAATTAAAGAGAATCACCTGTGTGTTTCTCTTGCCTTATCTATAGCTACAGCACAGAAAATAGTGTTTACCGAAATAAAAAAATCTTTGAAGACTTCGATTATCTCGCTTTATCACATCTAATGCGAGCAGTGCAGAAGCTGCTATCAGTGTTTCTGAGAGGTTTACGACACTCAAGCAAATATACCTTGATAGAACGTGTTAACTCCAGGTCAGATAATAAAAAACAGGAAAGTATAATTACCAACCGCCTACAATCCAGTGATAAGAGGAAAAACGGGTTGGAAATATTGTCATCAAGTCAGACAGGAATATATTGTACTGTTTGAAGTTCACCAGTCTGACAGCAGCACCAACAGGTGAAATCCACCACATGAGGCTTTAAAAGCAAATTTCCAGGACTTAAATGCATCCCGTGTGTGCATGCTGTTTTGAGTTGATCAAACATGAAATTGATGTATTGATTTCTGCTGGCTGGCAGCTCAGTGTCCACCTGAAAAGATCACATTTTATCCCGCTTCCTTCAAGAAAAGCTAGCAAAGCACGGGGCTGACCGTTCTAAGGTCTCATCCCATCTAAGCTGAAAGAGAAGCCTGAAACAGCGAATCTCTCCATTGCCTTGCCTGTCTGTCAAAAACACAGCGGAATGACAGTAGGTCATATCTCGTCTTCGTCTATAAAGATCTATTTCTACTGAGAAACTTTGGTGCAGCATATTTCTTTTCAGTTGCCAAAGCTTGTTCAGGAGAGTTGAACAAAATCACCAAACTCATTCTTTCATTTTATTAATGTGATGGAAAACTTGAACACAATGTTTTTTCCACCTCCAAAGTATTGAGAATGAAGCAAAACAAGTCAGGAACAGCTGACTCAGCTATGAGCTGACAGGTGGATGACATTGCTATTCCCTTTAAACCCTAGTCTAGTCTACCTATCACACAAAATGCATTTATGAAATTTTATCCCTCCAAAGCCAGTTGTGAAAAATTGTTTCTCAAGAGAATAATGTGCTTCAGACCAGTTTCTATACTCAAGTTTCAAGCCTTTCTGCAAGTAAAATTTTGACGACAGGGATTCTTCATACTGGCTTCTTTCATTAAACACTCTTTGCATGTCGTTCTCTGGGTTGTGGGGAATGTACGACTGTGTCAACTTCATGCATTGACAAGTGTAAATATGTGACCACTTTAAACTGCACAAGCCTTGACAGAGTAAATTGTCTTACTTGGTAAGGACAATGGAGACAGCATCGTTGAGGATGCTCTCACCAAACACCAGCATGTTGAGGACGGGATCCACATTGAGAGCATTGAATATGGCAATAGTAGCTACAGGGTCCACTGCTGAGATTAGAGAGCCGAAAGCAAAGCTGTAGCAGGAATTGAGAGAGGAAAGAACATACAAGTTTACATTGTTACTTGTACAGGCCTTAACAGGTTTCACATGGTAGTGTGTAGGCCTCTACAAAATAACAGGTTTGATAACTTAACGGTGCAGCACGTCCTGTCAATTTGCCCCAGGGAAGAAAACCAGTCCAAATTGATAGAGAACATGGCAAAGTTCTGATTTATAGTTGAACAAATCTATAAAATGCCAAGAAGCCTGTGTAGGCAAAAATGATACATGCATGGATCCACAGGTGCTGGGTTCAGGGACTGTCCTGACAAATGTTTAAGATATTCTACCTTAAACCATGGTCTGAATTCCACGGTCTATGTCGTTCAAAGCTACGTAGTAGTTTCTTAATACAAACGCTCTGAAAACAGGACACACTCTTGTGTACACTCTGGGCTGCAACATGTTATTCTTTGTGCGCAGACAGAACTCCTCCCTAAAAACAAATGGGTGTGGTATAATAGAGTGTGTTTGAGTCATATACATCTAGCAGCTACATTCCACCTACTGGAATTTACTAACAGATCATAGAATTTCTTCGGTTACAGAGAATTTGGTTTTACTGTACACCGCCCGCTTTAGTGAGTGACGCAACTGTGGAACAAGAAGCCAAAGAAGAAGACCAATGCTCACCTATCAGTCATAGTCATCTTATAAATCACATCGACCTGAGAGAAAAGGGAGAGACACATTAAGGAGACCTGACATTACTAAGATTCACAGTGCCTATTAGGTGCTGGAGGTTATAATGGCAGATGATTATTCACACATCTCTGACAGAATCTGTTCAATATTCTCTGCTGAAATTCAGCTTTAGGAAAGTTAAAAAACAAGTATTTCTGTGATTGCCAAACTTCGTGACCTCACCTGACCAAGGAAATAGATACCTCCTCCGACTATAAAAGCTGAGATGGCAGTACCAATCACAGCAAAGAGAGTGATGGAACCGATGTTCTGGAAGAAGTTACCCTGAACACATACATAGACACAGCTCAGACATTTCTTACATACATGTTGTTAACGTCAAAATAAACATTGTTCACAACTTTGAAAAATACGTTATAATTACATTTCCAATTATGTTGTGCAATACAGATTGAAAGCCCAGACAGTGTTTTGGCTGTTGGTCATCAGTGAAAAAAGATGGTAAGTTAAAAAAAAAAACATAATTCAGAAAAAAACAACATTGTTTTAAGTTGCTAATTTTACTGCCTTTTTAAATACACTAATTTTTCTATAAATGAAGTGAGAAAGGCATTATATTCCTTCTATTTCTTTCTACTTCTATTTGTTATGACAGGAGTCAGTCCAGTTAGCCAAGAGAGAGGCGGGGACTTTGCCAGACCTGTGGCGTCACAGGTAAGCCATGCACACTTGTAAAAATGCTGCTTCCCGGCAGTTTCCAAACATGCTTTGGCATGTATAAACATGATAAGGCATGGGAACATTGGCACACAGCCACAAAGCCTCAAGTAGTTGTGAAAATATGTGGACTTTCCTGCGAACCCTTATCTGCCAGCAGAAAATTAAACAACTCCAAAGAAATGAGAAAATCTAGTCTTCATATCAACCTCAATATCAGAACTGCTTTCTATTTCTTTGTTTGGTTGTTTGTTTTTGAACATCTGTGCATTTCCAGAAGATATAAAAATCCCCCCAAAATATTTCTGGCCTTCTCCTCAGTAATCAACACAGTCTCAAACTGCTATTAGGGTACACTGTACATTCATTTTTTGGAGGACCAAAGATAGAGTAACTTACTTGTGCAATTGAAATTTAAAAAGGAATGGTGCATGGACAGAGTTTCATACTTGTGGAGATATATTTGTAGGTTTCTTCTTTGTGATAATGAAAGAGTGTGTAATATTTTTAGGGTACATATTTTAAGAGTTTACAATACAAATAACTATTCAATGCATAAGCTTTTGTCTGGTTTTTGTATTATTATTATGACAGCATAATAACTTATAGCCTACCTTGTGCAATGAGTACCCAGATTCAAAAATGATCGGTGGCAAAATCAGCAGGAAGAACATGTTGGGTCGAAACATTTCCTCCTCCTGTAAAACAAGGATAGAATAAATGAAACTACAGAATGAATTAGACTCCCAGCTAAACAATTTAACCATTCAGATGCATTTCAACTTTATTACTAACCTGTTCTGTGCATGTTTTAAACAAAAATGTAAATAGAGAAACTTTTTTTCCCCATTTCAGGGTTTGTTGTTGGTTCGGAAACACACACACACACACAAACATACTCACTATGTTCCACAGACCCTAGCACTGTAATTATTTCGGTAATATAATGCAGTCATTGTTGCTTCTCAGCTAAATGGGCCAGACTCCCAGATCAGGCACTGGCATCGTGTGCCAATGTGTTACAGAGTGCACGAAGCACCATGTGTTTCTGTAGTAGATCTGAGTGGGAGAGTATGTGTGTGTTTCATGCACAGTTCATGTTTGAAATGTAAAAGTGCATTCATGAATGAACATGTGGCAGCTTTCATCCTGATTGTACGCTGCAGTTGTTTCTGTCAGAAAGGAAAGAGCAAGGTAGGTCCATCTTTACTCCACCCAGTCAACAATCCCACTCTTTGTACTCGGAAATCTAGTTTTAACAGCTGGCAGAGCCTGGATCCAAGCTGCTTGTACGCTGTAATTACTTCCACATTTTCTAAAAACTACTGCAACAGCTTAGCTTCAAAGAACCCGCACAGTATGAAATTTAGCTTCAAATGAAGTTTGTGTTTTTTGTAACAACCAACAGTGTTATAGCTACTAGCCATTAAAAAGAGGTCAGACATAAAGGGCAGCCGATATACAGAACGTATGCCTAGTTAAAAAAAGGCTATGCTCCTGTTTATTTAGCCCAATAATGCATTCAAATTTCAGTAGTCAAAAGTAGGCCAACGAATGCTTCCAGGTTACTAAACTTGTTATTACTAACATGACATTTAACTCCAGCAGAATTTTGCCTCTCAGTCCAGTTTAACACGTTCAATAGAAAAAGGTATGCATGCTCTATAATTTGACATTCACAGCTGTACTCCTGACACGTGTGTGTATGTACATGTTTCACAGTCACACACAATGTTTTTTTAAGTGATGGAACAGCGATGAGGTCTTTTCAAACATGTCTGTGGACATGACTTTGTTGGTGAGACATGGCTTTTGGATGGTTCTGGTTTTTAATTCTGGTTTTGAATCATTACCAACTAATGTGTCACTTACATGTTTCATTAATCGTATGAGTAAATAGTAGACATTTAGCTGTGGATTTGTGCTAAAATGAGGATCTTAAAATGAACATTAGATTAAAGAACACCATGGAGAAATCACAAAGTTTTTAGAAGTTGTATTTAACTAAAAAAATGGATGCACCACTGATTAGAACTGGAAATATTATTCTGCTGATGGATTAAGCACTAGAGTCTGGGCCAGAGGGAGCTGGACTGATCTCCTAAAACAATAAGGAACGCTCCCGAGTGAACAGGGATACTGAGATTTTACTAACAAAGATTTATTAATAGACAGCAGAAAAAATATAAGACAAGGAAAGATGGAAAGGATGAACCCAGAGAGTGAAAGACTTCTATATTCTCTAGAAGGGCTGTGGCAGAGCTCAAACTAAAAAGATGAAGGGAACATGGTTAAAAGAGGGCTGAGAGATAACAAAAAAAAATTGAGTGGGACGGCTGGAGAGAACATTGTTCAGAGAACAAGCTCCCTAGAGGCTTGGCTTTGACAGCCACTGACATCACCACATGGGAAAAGGGCCCCTGAAACCACAATTAAAACTTTTCTCCGTGTGTCAGTCTCTCTCCCTCTGTGGCGTGGGAGACATCTATTAAAAGTATGTAGTGCCCTTTGGGGCTTAAAACACACCACTGCAGCCACCAAGGAAAAATGATGAGCCCAGATATTAGAGTACAGACAAGAACAAGTTAACAGAGAGCACAAAAAAGGATTAGCTGGAGTGTAAATATATTCACCTGTTTATATCTGTGCTGTGCCTGGGAGACATTTTGCTGCTAGTGTGTTACTTTGTACCAGCAAGCTATTTCTTCTTCAATCTGTGTCAGAGCACAAGGGAAAAATGGGCAGAGGAGAGGAAAGGAAATGCAGTAACAAGTACCAAAAAGGCACATGAGGGAAAAACTTCTGTTCATGTGCGGATTGTAGGGAGAGAGCTGGTGAAGCGAAGGTTAGTAAAGACAAAGCAATGCTTAGTTTTTTATAGAAATGTTAAACAAACTATTTTATTTTCCTTTCTTTTTAATCTGGCCACCCAGTTTTTCTTCTCTCATTGTCTTTGACAACAACATTTTACTTATGTCACTTTTCTAAAATTAGTTTTGACTGTTTAACAATAGTAAGACAAACACCCCGAGAATTAAATAACTCAGTGACTTTTGGAAGAAAGAAATGTAACTAAAATGTGTAGCAGAACATTTCTTTCACACTTCATAGGTGATATCTCTGCCCTTGTCTCACTTCTTCAAATACAAAACGATGATAGATGTTTTCTGAATGGCAACTTGTTTTTACAAAAAAAAAAAGAAAAATTGAACATGCTTAATGAACACACAGCTATTTTAGACACTAATGACGAGATCTGAATACATTGAGCATTGTTTGTCGTCACATAACAGGAATACCAACTTCCACAACAACTAAATGTGTGTGAAGTCACTCCAGGACACCATGGGAATTATCAGAAGTCCGATTCAGAGAGAGATTGAATTCTGTTTGGCCCTGAGAGCAAAATACTTTGTCACAAAAAAAAAGTAAGAATGGGAAGAACAAAGTCCAATGTGCTATTCAAATCGACAGAGTCAGGACAAATAGAGACTAAGTTATGAGTTCTATAACTTCACTACAGTAAAAGAAAGTGAATGTTTGTGGAAAATCTTCAAATAAAGTTAGTGACTAATTTATGATTAAACCCAATCCGAGCGCATAAGAAAAGGAAACACCAGTATGGATACGAGCTACAATTTAACACGCTAAGGATGGCGAATCAACAGCTATGAACAAGGACACCAGTCTGATCCGTCTTGATGGGAGTCAGGATGAATGGAAGATACAGTAACAGCCAACAACCAATCACAGGCAAGTGTTCAAGAAATATTATTTGCCATATTATTTTACCAGGAACTGATCAGCTCGTGCAGCCAAACTAAAAATTGGTTCAGGGACAGATGTGTTTGTCAAAAGGGGATTTTTGTGAATAAAGAAGTTTGTTATGTAATTCACGATATTCTTTTTCGCCTGTATATGTACACACAGTGAGGAAAAGTACAAATGATGACACCAATGTTCATTCATTTTCCAGTCACACATTTTTCTCTCTAGTTAACCACTAACAGTGAAGACACCACAGCCAAACGAAGGTATGAGAGAGTTTATGTTCCCCAAAGTATCTTATCCAACAGACCTATCATGCATTTGGTGTGAAACGATAGAAATCTGTCTGACTGTTTTGCAGCTGAAACAAAAGGCAGCCGTTTGAAGATAAGAAGGAGAGAGAGAGCTCAGCGACCGGATGCTGCTGCCTGAAGGGCTTTCACTATTGATGGTTCACAGGGCACGTCTAAAGGCTCGATTAATAAAGAATCCCTGCTTAGGGAGACGGCGACAGTACAAGGTTTAACTGTACAAAGTAACAATGGCTTACCCATATGAAAAATACATTAACAGATTAAGGCATGGTGTTACTAAGTGATTGGGGGGTGCATTCCATTTACTAAAGATGAGTAAAAAACATAAATAGGCTGACATCATCGGTTTTTCCACTAGCTGTTTGAGTAGCACAGCCCGTCACATACACAGCCAGTGTTACTCACTAAGGCTGCAATTTCTGGTCAATTCTGATAGGCCTTGTAAAAAACAAGTCGGTCAGAAATAATGGATTTGCATTAGTTGGATTGTTTTAAGTCTCCAAAGGGTTATGAACCACTTAGATAATCCACGCTCTAGCAAAGAGGCCTATGCATATCATAGTAGAACTAAAGGGCTTTTAATGAAGCTATATAGGAATAATTTGTCATACACGACCTAGCTTCTAGATGCAGACAGGTGAGCTGAACATTAAACAAAAAGACAGTCGTCTAAAGATTCAAGCACAGAGCAACATCAGGAGAGGGGCTGCGGGGGCTCTGGTTACTTGCATCGATGACTCAGCAACTGCCTGGGGGCCCACAGAGCTAAAAAAACACAATGCATCCCTGTGTGCAAGAAACATTGACACAACCTGTCCTCTTTCCTCCCTGTCTGCCCACTCTGGATTCCTCAGTCTACCTCACTTCCTCATTGGTTGTCCAACTAACTGGCAGAGAACGAGGAATGTTAATTAAAGGCTGTGAGAACCAGAAAGAAATTGCAAGAAAAGAATTATGTGTGTTACTAAAAGCCAACAAAGAGGAGATGAAAAGTTAAGATTTATAAGATAGGTAAAAGGAACAGAGTGACAGATCAAAAGCTGGAAACAGAGATTAAGAAGGCACAGCACAGTCAAAATACTTTTTTGTGTGTGTTTGTGAGCTTTACACACACTGTGTCTGTGTTTTCTGTACTGTGCTTCACATAAAAAGATGCATTCTGTTCATATTTTTTAACAACACTGCAGTAACACAGCAAGTGAGAGTCGATAACGCATGATATATGTGTACAAATAATTTTGGCGTTGCACACAGGCTTTAACCGTTTTTGTGTATTTGTGTCTGAGAAACTTCACTTTGATTCATGCTCATCAAAACCACCCAATAGATGAACATAAAACCGTGTTTTCAAAAATAAAGTGCAACCTGAACAAGGGAAAAAGGAGAATGTTAACACAAAATCAAACTATACCTTCCAGTTGGCCAGTTCATGGAACTCAATGAGCTTAATGAAGCCTCCCATCAGAATCCCTGGAAGTGAGGAGACTGGTTAAATATTTAATGACATCCCTGTATAAAAATTTCAATGAAGATACACTCACAAACGTGTATTGTGAAAAAAAAGGATGTCAGGCATATGTCTGAAAGCTTAGTTGAGTGGAGAAATTGTGCGCACAAAGATTAAAAGCGTTATTGTGTTAGTTTTGTCTTTGAAAATGCCCCCTTGGGGCATCAGCTTTCTCACTGCACATCCCAGCAGAAGATTAATTAAAAGGGAAACAAAAAGCTGTTCAAAGGGCACAGGAAGAGAAGATAGAGAAGAAATTAAATATAAGCATCAATGTGCTGTGTGAGACCTAAAGATATTATGACATGAGCAGGAATAGCACAGAGGAAGACAGAAAACACAGGGACAGGAAAAGGGAAATTATGAAGGAAGGAAAAGCCGAGATTTGTAAGCAAAGTGTTATCGCTCTGTAACAACCCTCTGCTCAAACCAGGGACACAAGCTCTCTCATATTAAGCATTCAGGCCAAGGAAAAGATAAAGGGCATCAGGTTCGACAAGGATGAACAAAAGAATAAAAAAATCAAATTAACCCCAAGGAGTGTATCTGTACCTTATGAAATAAATTAATCTATCTAAAACAATGAATCAATTTTTTTATTTAAAAAAATTGTAAAAAGCAAAGTGTTTCATACTTCTTTAGTAAAATTGATAGTTATATCCTTGCTCTGCTTGATAAACATTGTTTACCACATTTAAACAAGTAGTGCACTAAAGGACTACTGACTAGAATTCATCAGGCGTGGTGCAGACCAGAAGATACAATAGCAAAGATAACATTCTTTCTCTCAAACAGCACAGCAATGTGCCCAAAACATCCAATAATCCCACCTGCCAAGGGTTAGGTGAAAAATAGATAAATAGGTCAGCTGTGACTTTACCCATTAAAAATGTCCTAAAATGCTGCTAAATATAGAAACATAATTTGTATGTGTATTTGATTTTCCATGAGAGGTACTCACCAAGTGACACAACAGCCACACTTTCAGGGAGAAAATGCAGCTTGAACTTGATAAGCAGGTGCACCAATATGATGCAAATACCTGGGGGAGCAAGGAGTGAAGACAACTGAATGAACATTTAGGACAAATACATCCATGTTTAAAGAGTCATGTCCATCCAACTCAGATCAGGCCAAAACTATATCCAGATAGATATTCCTTGTTTGGCTGCTTTCTTCAAAACTGCAGACTGAGTTAAATAAATATTAGCTGTCTTTAATTAAGTTTTCATTCATCTAAGGTTGAATTTACCCATGCAAATGTGTTCATATACCTTTGAATAATGTCTAAAAAGCAGTTAATTGACAACGGTATAATTCTCAGACACCGCAAAAAGCAAGTCAAATATCAATTACTTTGTGAAAGTACACTGGCAGCTCTATCTGTCATTTAGTTAATCATGTGCATGGGCGATACCAGAATCATAACAATAACGTTGACGGCCACACGAATGTACACAACAATTGAGGAGTCATGCACAGTTAAACATAAAGTATATGAAATCTTAAGACACTGTGTGTCTTAAGATATCCCAATTTTTATCTTTGGGAAAATGTCAAACTGACACCAAACAATGACATATACAAATATGAAAAGAAACATGAATGTGAAGATTGTGCAGATTGTAAGAGGTACTTTAAGGGCCTGATGCGATGTTTGTGGAGTGCACATAGAGATGGTCAGTCTTTTTTTTTAATATGCAAACACTGATAAGCTATCATGAGTTGCAAGCTGGTCCTTAAACGTATCTTTGCAAAGTTGTGTAGAAAATATGAGTTAAATTTGATACGATAATGTTATGCATTTCCACGAAGCTGACAAATTTAATTTGAATCCTTCTGTAAGATTAATGGAAGACCATGGAACCTAATCTTGTTGTAAACTACACTGTTTTTGTGAGAAAGCACTTTACCTTAAGTAGCCACATCATTTCTTTTTCCCTAAACCCATCATCTCTCAATGTCCGACCTGAAAAACTGAGCGGCTGACCATTTCTTTTCATATAATTTTCTGTGTGAGAAAATAAATTACGTTTTCATCCAAATCCTACAAACTATGGGAAGTGAATATCAACAGGGATATCATCTATGCAACCATAATACAGAAAACAGTCAAATTTAAGTCAAAGGAATAATCACCAACCAATAACAAGTAGGCTAAAGAAGATGGTCAGACCACTGGACTGCTCTTCCTCTTGTGCTTTGACTCCTGTTTGCACAGGAAGAATAGGCTTGGGGGATGGGGGTGGGGGTGTAGTCGGCTTGTTGGTAGTTGTAGAATGGAAGGTTTCATTGAAGAATTCAGTTGTATCATTGGACTTGCTGCAAACAAAGAGGAGCAAAAGCATTTTGCCATTTGAAGTGTATAGGTAATCACTCCATACATTGCCCCCCAACCCCCTGCAATGTAAGCTTTAAGTAATGTAAAACTGTTGTATGAAATTAGTATGAAATTAAACGAAATATCCAAACTAAATCAGATAAAATCATCATGCTGTTACATTACATAATAAATGCACTGCCACATCCACAATGTAAAACTTTAACTACTCACAGAAAAATATCTAACCATAATGAGCATGTCATGTTAAGTTCAGATTTTAATAACGAAAATATTATTTATTAAGCTTGTGAACCTGCTGTCATTAACTTGGGTTCTGCCATTAATTGCGAAAAAGCAGATATATGCGAGTATGGCAACGTGTCGTTAAATTGTTGGCTGAGTGTAACAATGTTTACCTGTTTAAAGACAGTGCTATTTAAAGCTATTGCTAGCTAAGTGAAAAGGAGGAGTAGTATTTCTCTTAACTCTGACCTGACAAACTGCCCATCATTCTGGACGTCGTTTGAGTCCTTTTCATCTTCTTTGCCATTTTTACTTAACGTGTGTTTGTTTTCTTCAGGAATATTGTTTTCCTGAACAATTTCTTCGTTGTCTGCTTTCTCATGCTGGTCCACGGAGTTGTCCCTCTCAATTCGTTCTGACACGCACAGATTTACAGAAATGAGCAAAAAGAAAACCGAAAAGACTTTAATACTGACACCTCTCATCTCAACTAACTTAATTCAAACAAAAAAATGATTATTGTATGAACAAGCACAGACAGCTGCATCTCGATGTCTCCGTGTATCTGTTGACATCACGACTCTACTTCCTGGTGAAGTTTTTACTGGGAGTTGTAGTCTTTAGATCCATTTATGTTGGGCAAATTAAGGATCTCAGTGCAAACTCCAAATTCTTATCTGAAAGTCTACCGACAATTTTAATTTCACCATCTGCCAAAGCTTATGATTTGATTATCCATGTTTAGCGATTAATGTGGATGCTAATGATATTTGTTTTACTCCATTTCCCAGAAGGCATTGTATCTTTGCGTATATCTTCCCTTCGATTAAATGCTGCATTCGAAAGACAATAAAAAATTGTAATTATACACTAGCGACTAAAAGAATGCCAAATTTACTGAATGCTACAAAATGAATGTCTGTCATGTATAATATAAAATATTGAAATATTTCTTGTACACTGAACACTGGGATCACACATAGGCGCGTGTATATATCAATCTATATATCTATATCTATATACTGTATATATATTGCCACTAAGCCTTGACATAAAATATATTGAAATGAGATTGTTTTTAAGGTCAGATAATACTGAATATGTACTTAAGAGAAAAACACAAATATTCTAAACAGGTTTTCTTTGTTTTCATGAACGTGTGAACGCACATTTTAACCTGTTTTAGTTGCTTTGCTTAGTCTTGAGGAGTTGGGCATTACAATAAAAATGTCAAGAGGTCAAGACTAAGAGTTTAATTCTTGCCAAGATATTGTACCCTTGAAGAGTCTCAAACGGTGTGTAAACTGGAAAAGTGGGTGCACGTTGTGTGTGTATTTGTTTTCGGAGAACGGTTGAAAAAAATGTAATATGTTCAATAGTTCTGTTGTTTTTTTTAAGCTCCAAATTGTTTATTTGAGATTTATTTTAGACAGGTTTGAAATTGGACACCGGAAGAATCTCTTAGAATTCTTCTTATAAATCAAATAACTAACACATTAATTATGTTACTTGTGCGGCATAGCACCCATGGTCTTATGGGCCTTGTGAGGCTAAATGCCTAGTATAAATTCACACCATATCCGTATCTCATTATTCCGTATCATCAAAAGGAATTAGGGAACCATTCCAACGACTTTATCTGACCATTTCTGGTCTCCAGGTGACGTTGTTCAACACTTCGGCCGTTCGTGGTTGTCAAGTAGGAACTGCCGTTAACGCCCACTCGAGGTATTGCTTGCCTTTTTTTTTTTTTTTTTTTGCGGAGGGACTGCTCCATTCATAGGGCTGGGCAGGCAGGGAGGCAGGCACAGCGCAGGAGCGGCAGGAACACCATCAACCGACGTAGTGTGGAACCTCAAGGATGGTTTCTCACTAGGAGCGGCAGGCCACTTTAAACCGCGCTTTCTTCCTCAGCCGTTTTCTACATCGGGACGTACGACCCCAACGACCGTAAACGAAACCATCGAACCGGGAATGGAATTCAAGCGTCTCGGTTGATTCCTGGCGGTCCCAGCCCCCCCCCTTTTTTCTTTTTTTTCTTTCGACCTGCCGCGGAAATAGCCTGGACTTGTTCGCCCGCCTGTCTGGCCGCTGCCGCAGACCCACAGCCCCCCTCGGCTCATTATCCCCGCACCGCCCGCGGACCGCTGCCTCCGCCACCTGGACTGTTCGGGAAACATCCGCCGCCGTCGTCGTCGATAAGCGAAACCGAGCCTGCCCGTGTGCTTCTGCTTGCCTGTATGATGCCGACACATTTGCGGTTCCGGAGAAGGTCATTCCTTGGGCTTTTATTCCTTTTTTCACTGTCCACATCGGCATTGTACTTCATCTACTCCGCCCCCGGAATCGGTAAGTGGGCTCAAATGGAGAAAGGGGGGGGGGGGTTCGTTTTGAATTAGCTGAGGTGAGGTTGTATGTTTGCGCCGTTAGGTCATGTGTGGCGGTATGGCCATGCGCCCCTGCTTAGTCGTGCTATCACCGTGTCGATGAGCCTCGGCTGAATGCTGATCCTTTAATAATATCCGTGTACCTGGCCGTGATGATGATGGTAATAATAGTACAACTGATGAGCGTGCTGTTATAATCTCTCTGACGTTACTAGGCCTCTCGACGGTGGGCACAATGCTTACAGTAACGTCTGCAGCCTCAGACTAAATGTAATGGGTCCTTCCTCTCTCTGCTGTCTTCTCTGGCATCCATCAAATGATCGGAGTTGACTCGTGTTGTTTCTCGAGGCTAGCCCCGGCCGTCTGCTTCGTGGTGACCAACGGTCACTTTATGAATCATACATTCATCGGGCTCGATGATATTTTCCACTCGGCCATAGATTCAAGTCATTCCTGACATCATAGCCTGCCTGATTGTCACATGCAGTTGTGTAATATCACATGTCCTGAATCCATTTTCATTAAGTCATCTTCCCCTACCTTTGTTAGTTCAGTCACTCCTTGTTACACTTGGTCAGGTTAGTGTTGAGCAAGTCATGCCCTTCGGTTTAGCTGTGGTCCAGACATCTTAGAAGCCTTGGTGCATATGGCTACTCATATTTTCTCTGGCCATCATCACCGTTCAATACTTACCTGAACTGGTCTGGACACAGCCCTGGTGAACCTGGATAACTTATCCTCTGTCTTTGACTCTGAGCCAGATTGATTTAAAACTTAATTTTCAGTTTTAAGAGTACATGTGACTGTGCATTTTTGTTTAGATAATATGTCTCTGTTAATATCTCATTGTAGGAACGTTCATGTGGAAATGATTGATAGCTATTGTTAAATGGCTAATGTTGAATGGCTAATTTTAAAGCGCAAGTCTTTACTCAGTGTACCTTATTGCATAATCCTCCATAGGTGTCTGTTTGTGCTTACTGAACATGTCTGTAAAGGGTGGTTTTATTTAAAGAATTGTTTTAGTGGTTTCTTCTTTAAAGGAAAAACAAATCTGAGCCTAGATGCCATCCAGCTGTGTGAAGGGCCGATTGGAATCACTGAAAGTGAGACCGGCTAGCAACCATGTGAGTGACATATTGCCCATCTCACACTGGTGTAGACTTTCAAAAACATATCAAAGGGAAAACTGACCCTTACTCATCAAAATGGGTATTGATCGGTTCACGCTTTTTACCAGCCGAGGACAACTTAGTCAATAATTGAATCAATTCTCATATTTAGGACATAGTACTGACCGTAAGTTGCAGTTGCAGAAAGCAATGATTCTTCTAAATGGAAGGCAAGCAAGTCTCGGCCTAACTGGGATAAAAATAATTCTTGATCCGGTAGCTTGCTGTTTTTCCAGCGTTGATGGGATCTGTCTGAGGGCAGCTCTTGGCCATACTCATCCTCCATGGTGTTGACTATTGTAGGGCTTTAATGGACATGTGGGGTACTGGGGGTTAGTGGAGAAACAAAGCAAGACCAGCAGCTCCGGTCCATTTATTATTAATGATGACCGGGAACGAGGAAGCTTTTTTATTTTTTTGCTGCTCTTACTAAATGCTGCATTTTAAGTCTTTTCCTGTTGGCCAGAACTGGGAAAATGTGGGCGGGTGTGGGGATCTTACAGAGTCTAACAGTTAGTGTTCTGGTGGAGGAATTTACCCACTGGTGGTAATATAGATTCATTAGCTTTCAGATGCTGTGCTCTGAAATGCTCCAGTGAACGGGCGGCCAGTCAAACAGAGACAAATGACAAATGATGCAGCTCAACAAAAACATTTGAGCAAAGGCATGTCAGCGTAGTCGGCAGCAGGCATCACACAGAGCTCTTTATGACACTTTCACCGTTCCTCTTCACAGCCATCAAGTGTTGAAAAGCAATTTTATGATACAGAGGAGTTTGAAAGACACTCTTGATGTTCTTGCTTTGAAATATCAAGAGTTTTTTTTCCCCAGCCTTTTCTGTTTTTTTTTGTTTGTCTGTTGATTTCTGTTAAGCTATAGGTGCCACTCCTTCTCATTAGAGCATGACCCACAGCCTGCCTGTAACCTGTTTGGCAAATCCCATCATCAACTGGGAAAGTTTACAAGGCTGAGGTGTGAGCAGGCTTGTTGGATCCTAGCTGCTCCGGAAACCCCCCCAAAAAATAACCTGAAATTCATACAGAGGTTTGGTTGGATCATTCTTAGCTTTACATTGGGTTTAACGTTCTAAATGCACTTTGCCACAAAAAAAAAAAATGCCGAAAGGCAAACTGCAAAGAATCAGCTGAATAATTCAGAGTAAATTGGAGGGAAAAAAGGGCCAGAAGAGAATGAAAAGAGATGAGTGGAGCTGCAGGTTTTGCACAGTGGGGGAAGCCATCCAGAACACCTGAACAGGGCTTCCTGTGATACCCAGGTGGCCTTCCAGCAGAATGCCCCAATTTCACAGCTAAGTCCACCTCTCTCTTCCCCATTACCATCTGCCTCTGTCTCTCGGAGTTTCTCCGTCTCTGTGTGTTCATGTGCTCCACCATGCCGGCCTCCTGTGTGGCTTCGGCCCCTGAGCCTGGATGCTGACGGATGCGGGCTGGGGATACAGGGCACAGCTGGGCTTCGTCGCATCAGTTTATTTAATTAAAACATGATAGGCTCCCGCTGGAGCGAGCGCCAGGGAAGATGCTTCCTCTGTTTCTAGGTTTGAGCGCGCACGCAGCGCCACATCTGGGGAACGAGGGAAAAAGAGAGCAGGTGCTTTCAGAGTCACCAGAGACGGGGGTTCAGACTCCCCCAGAGACGGCCGCGTGTCTGCGATGTTGTCTTGGATGGTAAGCCATCGATTCGTAGGTGTGGCTTGATGACACCGAGGAATGGCGACGGTTTTTTGAAAGTTGCTACAGAGCACGTCAATACAAATATTTAATGAGCTCAGTGGACATCAGTAGGGGTTTAAAGTGGGTACAGTGCAATTAGTAGTTTTTCTACCAGCGGTGAGATGAGGGAGCAAACGCTCAGTTTCCGCTTTGCATGTTTGTTAGTTTTTTATGTGTGGAGTGTTTTTATTTATTTATTTTTTCTAAGTGATGAATTGACTTGGGGGAACATCATGCCTGCTAAACCTAAATTATAAGTCTAAATTACACGGGTGATGGTAGAAATTACCAATAAGTCCGTTTCCTGTGGAACATTTAGATGAAATTAGACTTTTTAAGAATATCCTAATAAGAAAAGCCACCTGCAAATTATTGGTTAAAATGAAGTCTTACTACACCGTCTCCAGGATAGCCATCTCTCATAAGGTGGTATGTGACATGTGGATGATTTTGGGGGCTTGTTTTTGAGCTGTGAGGGCTTTACGGTGTTATTTTCCAGCACTGTCCCCCCTGCTGCTGACATGACTCTGTCAGGAGTAATACAAGTTTTATAATTAGAAGTCCACTGTTCTCTCATACTGCCATCTCCTGTCTTGAGGGATTAATTTGTTGAGACTACCAGAAGGAGCATGTTTCTGATTTTTGCTCAGCCTTATTCTCTGACATCATTTGAGTAGCAGAGATCTGCCCCTTTCTTTCTGCGAAATCGGTTTAGACTGCTCAGATTTGACGTATACAATTGTCACCACTTCCTTGCTATGCAGTTTTGTAGAAAGAACACCCCCCCGCCTTTTATCTCTTTATCTTCTTTTATCTTATATATATATATATGGTTATACACACACACACACACCCACATATATATATATATATATTTATATATGTGGGTGTGTGTGTAACTATTTCCTGCAAACGAGTGCCCGCCTAAGCCCAGGAGAATTTGAATTCTGATTTGAGTAAAAATAAATGATGTTTGCCTCTAAAGGACAGAGGAACTTGTATAGATCAGACAGATTGTGTCTGATATTGTGCAATTTGACGCCGGGGGGGTGGCGGGGATAAGTTGCCACAGAGATAAGTTAAAGCTGCAGCGGCTCATTAGCAGCTGTTTGCTGATCCTAACTCTTCCAGAGCAATTGTTAGACTAGGTTCCACAAACATTACTCGTGGTTAAAACCGGTTTTAATTTCTGTGAACATGTACATGTTTCCTGGAAGCAAAGTTCACTGCATTGTTGGTTTTACCCCTAAAGTGCAAAAGGCGTTGGAGTGCAACACAGCTCCATGTGTTTGTGAGCGTAGCTGTGAAAGTCTGCTCTGCAGTACGAGGAAATTTCATTTGCATGTGTTGGTAAGTAAATGTAGACGTGTCAGTGGTAAACACACACTTGTCTGTGGTTTTCCCTGCTGAACCATGCAGGGACTCGGGGTCTTTTGCCGATGTCTCACTTGTGTCATTGCCTCAGCGGACACCCCTAAAGCCTGTAGTCCCCTCCTCAGTCCGCCTGCTGCTAAACTGATCCCACTATGAGGCTCCAGCCAGCAAGCTTCCTCAGGCTAATTTCCAGAGGCTAACATTAGCTAAGTTGAAATATTAACTTTGTGGCACACTGGCTCAGACAGAATTCATTGAAATAGGTTTACCGTTTCTCCCGCTTGGTAATATTCAGCATTGGCACAAAGACAGAGAGATTAATAGAAACAAAAAAAGAGTTACATCTAAATCAAAGTCAAACCACACAAAGCTGGACGCCTAACAGTTCAGACACTCTGGCTTGAGTGCCTAAGATCTGCTGTTTGACATTTTCACAGTGGTTGCCATGGTTCCCACAGGACCTGCTCCTACTGAGGACTGACTGCTTTTTATTGTCAGTGGATCCACAGAAGCATGCCATCCATGTTCCCATGATCATCTGGGTGACGACAAGTCCCCAAGGATACAGTCATCTGGGACACTGGCATTTCTCTGTTGGAGACATGCCTCCCCAAAAAGTCATTACACGAGTAAAAATAACTGGATTTGGTCTGCTTTGTAGCACTGACAGGTCAGAGCAGCCCTA